CTCAGATCCTTTCCCCATCATAACCTGCAAGTACAGTAAGTCTTGGATGGAGTATCTCAGATCCTTTCCCCATCATAACCTGCAAGTACAGTAAGTCTTGGATGGAGTATCTCAGATCCATTCCCCATCATAACCTGTAAGAACAGTAAGTCTTGGATGGAGTATCTCAGATCCATTCCCATCATAACCTGTAAGTACAGTAAGTCTTGGATTAAGTACCTCAGATCCTTTCCCCATCATAACCTGTAAGTAGAGTAAGTCTTGGATGGAGTATCTCAGATCCATTCTGCCGTTCAGACGACTACGTTCAAGAAACCGATATTGTTGTGAAACCTGGTGTGTAGTGCAGCTTGACCATGCAGCAGACAACGTACACGGCTAAGTTCAAGAAACCGATGAACACATTGATGTGAAACCTGGTGTGTAGTGCAGCTTGACCATGCAGCAGAAAACGTACACGGCTAAGTTCAAGAAACCGATGAACACATTAATGTGAAACCAGTTTAAACGTGTAGCAGATAGAACATATGTTCTAATAACTTGTTCTAAACAACTTGAATATAATTTTGAACGATGGTTTTTATACCCTTAATTACCATGTAATATGACCATATTGTTATCATAATACACCACACAATGTGATCATGTTGTCATTATAATACACCATATGATATGATCATGTTGTCTTTATAGTATACCACATAATGTGACCTTAAAACGTGATCATATATTGTACCTATTTTTGTATACACATTGAAATAAAAGCTTGTTTTTCATAAATGTCCTAGGTGAACCATTTATTATGTGCTCTGAACAAGAAGTTGAATGTGCTTGAAAAATGAATACAACATATCAAGAGAACGGGTTCATCCAATCATATCCAACAATAGATGACCTAGGTCAGGGTGGTCATAAAAGCTTTTCGTAGTTTGCCTGCTATCCATAATTAAGATTATTTATTATTGATTGTATTGATGTTAGAATTTATTACATGATTGTATTGATGTAAGAAGTTAATACATTGATGTTTATATAAACCACTTTCTTTCATCTTCTTCTTGTAAACTGGGTGTACAAAGAACTCGATGTTATCAAACAAACAGATAACGTACATAACACCTAGTTGTTTGTACGTTATCTGTTTGTTTGAAACAACTAGGTGTTATCAAACAAACAGATAACGTACAAACAACTAGGTGTTATCAAACAAACAGTAGTTGTTTGTACGTTATT